TGGGGTCTGTTGTTCATTTTCCCAGTTCTATGCTGGGTTACTATCTGGGAGTCCCTTTGGCCACCCTGGCCAACAACTCAGAAGAAGGTATCTCCTATCTGGCATTGTTGCTTGTTATGTGGCCTTTAGCTATACATAAGGATTTTTTAAAAATTATACTGGCCCCTTTAATCTTTGGTTATACTTTCCTTTTGGGTGTTTAAGGCCACACAGTTGGCCCAGGTAAACCAATTTATTTTGACGTTTAAGGCCGTTTGAGGATCTGTTCCTCAGGGGTCACATAGGCTTGGGAGGAGCCCCTGGCTCCTTTCTTTTACCAGTTCCGCCTATGTGAAGGTAAGTCAAAGGTCCTGCTCGACGATGGCTGGCTTCGCTTGGAAACATGGAGGAAATGATTCCTCTGTGTTGACCCTCCTCTTTGTAGACTGGACACTGGTTCAAGTCCATCTGGTGGGGTCTTCTCAGCCTCCTTGATCAAGAGGACAGGGGACCCACCACAATTAGAGGACATTTTGAGAGATTCTCATAGACCCCTGGAACTAGTCGACCTACCTAGGAGGGCAAGGAGCAAAAACTGTCCTTTATGTCCCTCTGACCACCTCTTCCTCTTCCTCTTCCTCTTCCTCTTCCTCTTCCTCTTCCTCTTCTTCTTCTTCTTCTTCTTCTTCTTCTTCTTCTTCTTCTTCTTCTTTTTCGGTCTTTTTTTGAGACAGGGTCTCCTTGTAGCCCCAGCTGTCCTGGAACTCATTATGTAGACCAGGCTGGCCTTGAACTCACAAAGATCCACCTGCCTCTGCCTCCCAAGTGCTGGGATTAAAGGTGTGCGCCACCACACCTGGCTAGTCTGGTACATTTTAATTAGTGTGTCATGTAATCTTGGGCAAAGACCAATTGTTCTCAGATAAACCTTACCTAGACATATATTTCTTGATCTGCTATGTATAATTTGTCAGTAGGTTGTAGGAATAATGGTTCCCTCTGTTTTTCAAAACTAGCTAGGCATTATTTATCTCTTGCATTGTCTCACCCCTCCACCATAGTTTTCCCACTTAAGGTGCCCCCATTTCCTCCCTTTCTCCCTTAATAATACCCTTCTACGGTCCTACCTCTCTGAGTTCCTTCTTTCCCTTTATCCCCTAGGTTCCAGTATACCCATCCCTCCCCTCTCCCTTAAACTAACCCAATTTTTATCCATATCTCCCTTATTAAGGCCTGTTTCCTACTGTTCTTCTCTTTCAGGTTCTTTCTTTTCTTTACCTCCCTGTTTGCATTCCATTTTTCCTGGTTCCTGTAGTTATGTCTGGATACATACTCACTTATCAAGGTTTGGTTTTAGGATCCACATATGAGGGAGAACATATGTCGATTTTTTTTTTTTTTCGAGTCTGTGTTACTTTACTTAGTATAACGGTTTCTATCTAGTTCCATCAATTTACCTGCAGATTTCATGATTTTATCTTTCTTTACTGCTGAGTAATACTCCATCATATAAATGAACTGCATTTTCATTATCCACTCGTCAGTTGAGGGACACTTAGGTTGCTTCCATCTCTTAGCTATTGTGAAAAGAGCAGCAACAAGTGTCTCTGCAATAGGATGAGTTCTTTGGGTATATGCCAAGGAGTGGTATAACTGGGTCAAATGGTAGGTTCATTTGTAGTTTTTTAAGAGTTCTCCACACTGCTTTCTATAGGGGTTGAACCAGTTTGCAGCCCCACCAGCAGTGGATGAGTGTTCCCCTTTCCCACATCCTCTCCAACATTTGGTATCACTTGTTCTCTTGATCTTAGCCAGTCTCACTGGAGTAAGATGAAATCTCAAAGTGGTTTTAATTTGCA